GCCTCTCACCGCTGTGGCCTCTCCCGCCGCGGAGCACAGGCTCCGGACGCGCAGGCCCAGCGGCCATGGCTCACGGGCCCAGCCGCTCCGCGGCACATGGGATCCTCCCAGACCGGGACACAAACCCGCGTCCCCTGCATCGGCAGGCGGACCCTCAACCACTGCGCCACCAGGGAAGCCCGACCCTGTGCTTTTATTGATAGCATGCTGTGTTTGCCAGGGGCCCATCCTACTGGCGGTTCCTGAATTCTATTCATTTTTTTCTCAGTACTGAAAAAGAAAATCTACTTGTATTTTTGAGCTTAGATTTTCAAGTTCCTGCCCTGTGTCAGTATTCTCAAAATTTTGAGAAACTGGCTATGTGTTTGAAGCCTCTCATGTTTCAGAATTTTTCACTACAGCCTTGACGGGCAAAGTTCACCACTCCCTGGTTTCTGGTCTCCCTGCACCCTAACCTGCCTTGCCCCACCAAGCTATAGCCCTCTGCCTGAGCCAAGCTCAATATTCAGGTTCCTCCCTGTAGCCAGAATTGGCAAGTGCTCCCAGGAAAAACAGCTATATTTTCCCATATACTTTCTGTCATTCACTCCTCTCCTGAATATTACCATTCTAGCCCTCTTTGCTTCTGCAATAGGTTGCAAGTAAATAGATGCTTTTTGTGAACTTCTTTTCTAGTTCTTAGTGAGTGCACTGGTCTGCTGCAAACTACTGTATCTTACTCAGTAGTAAAATCTATTTGTGCTTTTTAAAGTTCCATACTTAACAGTGTATATGTTTGTACATGAATGTTCTGCTTTTTAAAGAAACATGTTAAGTTGGTTGCAGTAAGTCACTTCACAGCAGGATGGCATCTGGCCAAACTGTTAAACACTGGTAAGGCAGAAACTACCTATATTTCATACCACTTCCACTACACCAGGTAGCTGCATTCAAGGAACCTACATTGCCCCTTTGATCCACCATTTCAGGACAGGCCACTCAAAATTAGTCAGCCTCACAATCAGAAATCCTGCTGGCAAGCTCCTGTCCTATGTATATCACCAAGACCAGGGATATCTCTCTCTCCCTACCTGGACATCAGAAAATCTTGCAGGTGGGTCCCCTTGCTAAAAATCTTCCCTTGTTTTCCATATGCCTCAGCAATAAACATGTGAGTTGCTTATAACCCCTGGTTCCAGTTGATGTCCAGTACCTTAAATTGGAAGGAATAGCATACCCAGCAATAGGCCAAATTGTATAAATGCTATGTCTAAATGCAAACATTCTCCACATTTCCTAAATGCTAGACACTTCAGTTCAAAACTGCTGATGTATGATAAGCTTAGGTTTAACTTAAAAGCTTCTACCCACTTAAATCACTATCTTATATCCACTGAAATGCTACTTCAAACATTTCACACAAGTCCAATAAAACACCAACTCATAGTAAATGCTTTCCTATAACTTGCTATAGTTTGTGCATTTTCTCTGGCCTGTGGATGAAGTCTTCTTTATGAATACTGATAGAGGTTTCTACCCTGTGTGATTTCTCTGATGTTTAGTGAGGTGTGGCTTTGGGCAGAAGGTTCCCTGTATTCATTCACCAATAGGTTTTCTGTACTCTGAGCTTTCTGATACACTGTATGGTTCAAATTCCAGTAGAAAATTTTCCTATGTCCAGAATATCTTCATATTATTTTCTTCCCTCTGTAAGTTCTCTGCTGTATTACGAGAACTGACTTTAGACCAAAGATGTTCTCAAAATCTTAATAGATTTTTCTCCCTGCTTTGTGTTCTTTGTTATATAAAGTCTTGACTTCACCCAGAGTGATTTCCCTCATTTATTATATTTATAGGGTTTCTTCCCAAATGTGTTCTCTGATGTACAGTAAGTTTTGACTTCACATAGAATGATTTCCTGCAAACATTACATTCATAGGGTTTCTCCCCTGTGTGTGTTCTATGATGTGCAGTGAGTTTTGACTTCACACAGAATGACTTTCCGCATTCATTACATTCATAGGGTTTCTGTCTTACGTGAGTTCTCTGATGAACAATTAGGGCTGATTTCTGACGGAAGTTTTTCCCACATTCATTACATCCAAAAGGTTTCTCTCCTGTATGTCTCCTCTGATGTTCTGTGAAACCCGAGTAGTAGCAGAAAAATTTTCCACATTCAGTACATTCATAGGGCTTCTCGCCTGTATGAGTTCTCAAATGTTTAGTGAGAGTTGACTTCTCAGAGAAGGATTTCCCACATTCATTACATTCGTAAGGTTTTTCTCCTGTGTGAGTTCTTTGATGTTTAATGAGGTCTGATTTTCTGAGAAAGGCCTTCCCACATTCATAGCATTCATAGGGCTTCTCCCCTGTGTGTGTTTTCTGATGTACAGTAAGGACTGACTTAAATGAGAAGGATTTCCCACATTCATGACATTCATATGGTTTCTCCCCTGTGTGTGTTCTATGATGTTGGGTGAGGGTTGACTTTTCACTGAAGGATTTCCCACATTCTTGACATTCATAAGGTTTCTCCCCTGTATGAATTCTCTGATGTTTAATGAGGTCTGAATTCTTGCAGAAAGTTTTCCCACATTCATGACATTCACAGGATTTTTCCCCAGTGTGGGTTCTCCAATGTCTTGTGTGGGCTGACTTCTTGTTGAAGGTTTTTCCACATTCATGACATTCATAGGGTTTTTCTCCTGTTTGTATGCTCTGTTGTATGCCAAAGACTAATTTTTCATTGAAAAAGTTTCCACATTCATTATATCCAATAATATTGTTAATTGAGTGGCTTCTCTGAATTGGAATGAGATCTGACTTCTGGCTCAAAGGGTGAACATTATGTTCAAAGAGAATCGATTCCTCAAAGAAATTTTCTCCACATTCATTAAATTCATAATGATTCTCTTTTGGATGTGTTCTCTGATGAGCAAAGAGAGATGACATATCACAGAAGGTTTTTCTGTATTCAGTGTATTCACAGGTGTTCTGTCCTGTGTCAGGATTCTTATGTATAACAAAGAGTGAATTCTCATGGAAAGCTTTCCTACATTCACTGTATTCAAAAGGTTGCTCCAAAATTTGAATTTTTTGATGCTGAACAGAGTCTTCATTAAGACAGAGGCCATTCCCATTTTTATTATATTCATAAGGTTTCTCTTCAGAGTGAATTCCTTCATGCTTGTCATCATGGAACCATTTTCTACCTTTGTTAAACTCATCAAACTTCTTTCTTGAATAGTTTCTACTGCTATTAATTAATTCTGAAATAGAGTGACAAGAAAGATTAGTTCACAAGGATATTGGGAGGAAATAGTTAGCATTAGGTTTCGGGGAGTTGATCAGTTTAGGTCTTATCTCTTCCATGCCTAGAATATGACAACAGTGTATATGTCCAGTCTTCTCTCTCTTTTCCATTCTACCCAGCAGCAAGAAATCAATATTCTAAGAGCCCTAACTCATAAAGGAACAGTACTTCTTTTCTAGCTCTGATTCATGAGGAATAAAAATAAGCAACAAAAGAGCAAATCAATAAGTGGACAAGCCATTCTTGCCACAGATTCAGACTTACAGCTCTATTGTAGGTATGGTATGTTCCCTTCGTTACATCAGAGTTGGTCAGCAGTGGACCTCTCCTGACCATCAAACCCTGTTTCAATCCCTTCTGGCTTTCCCCCAGATTTCACCCGAGTTAGTATCAGTTTTCAATCCTGCTTTCATATCCATGTTTCAACATCTCTGTATACCATGAAAACCGTAAGGAATAAAATTCTAAACCTGGTCCTAGAAATTTCTTTTATCTTTACCTTATGATTATGTGTGGTTGTTTTTACTCCTCTATCTACAGTATTCTATATCCTTGAGTTTAATGTCCAAAAACTGACAGTGTATATTTTAAAATTTACTTTATTGAAGTATAGTTGATTTACAATGTTGTTAGTTTCTGGTACACAGAAAAGTGACTCCGTTTTATATATATATATATATATACACACACACACACACACACACATATACATATACATTTTCATATTCATTTCCATTATAGTTAATTACAGGATATTAAATCTAGTTCCCTGTGCTGTACAGGAAGACCTTGTTGTTTATCCACTCTTACATATCCTAGTTTACATCTGCTAATCCCAAACACCCACTCCATCCCTCCCCCTTGGCAACCACCAGTCTGTACTCTATATCCGTGAGTCTGTTTGTTTCATATATAAGTTTGTTTGTGTTATATTTTATATTCCACATATAAGTGATAATGTGGTATATGTCTTTCTCTTTCTGAATTATTTCACTTAGGATGATAATCTCTAGGTCCATCCATGTTGTTGCAAATGGTATTGTTTCATTCTTTTTTTTATAGCTGAGTAATATTCCATTGTATATATGTACCACATCTTCATTATCCATTCCTCTGTCAATGGACATTTAGGTTGCTTCCATGTCTTGGCTATTGTAAATAGTGCTGCTGTGAACATTGGGGTGCATGTATCTTAGAGTTTTGTCTGGATATATGCCCAGGAGTGGGATTGTGGGATCATATGGCAATTCTATTTTTAGTTTTCTGAGGAACCTCCATAGACTTCTCCATAGTGGTGGTATCAATTTACATTCCCATTGACAGTGTAGGAGGGTTCCATTTTCTCCACACCCTCTCCAGCATTTGTTATTTGTAGACATTTTAATGATGGCCACTCTGACCAGTGTGAGGTGGTACCTCATTGTAGTTTTGATTTGCGTTTCTCTAATAATTAGTGAAGTTGAGCATCTTTTCATGTGCCTATTGACCATCATCAGATTTGTGTTCTTTGGAGCAACATCTATTTAGGTCTTCTGCCCATTTTTTGATTGGGTTATCTTGTTGTTGAGTTGTATGAGCTGTTTGTATACTTGGGAAATTAAGCCCTTGAGAACTGACCCCCCCCCCTCTATATACACATATATATATAGAAATTTTGTGTGTGTGTGTGGTACGCGGGCCTCTCACTGTTGTGGCCATGGCTCACAGGTCCAGCCGCTCTGCGGCATGCAGGATCTTGCCGGACCAGGGCACAAACCCACGTCCCCTGCATCGGCAGGTGGACTCTCAACCACTGTGCCACCAGGGAAGCCCGACAGTAAAGTATCACTGAGACAAACATTTTTTTAGCCATCATTTTACAAATCTAGAATGAATATATTTTTCTTTGAGTAAGCCCAGCTGTTTATCCCCTATAAATTGCTCATTTTCATCTACTGTCATCTACTCCTTGCTGTTCCCCTGGTTCTGTCTCTTCTGTGTTCATCCACCCACCTGTAGATGTATTGATGTATGGAACTCTTTCTTTGGTGTCCTGGTGTGTTGGGCAGAGGATTTCTTGAGTTACAGATGTCTTACTATTTGTAGGTTGAAGGGGAGTGACAAAATGAATATCTCGAACTGCCATGATGCTGACATCACTCACAAGGGTAATTTTTAAAAAACAGCTTTGTGTTATTTTGTGGCTACTACATCAGAATATGTGTGTGATTTGCACCTAGGGATAGTTATCAGAAATGTTCAAGTATTTGTGCAAACACCTGGTAGTGTAAGAAAGAGACTCCTCAGTCTGTGAGGAGTTTTACCTATAGTGCTGTTATTCCACTGGAAAGAGGTGTGGAATTTGTTCCTAAACTTAGCTGAAATGATACATGATCCTGCCTCAGCCTGGAAGGCATTTAAATCAGCTTCAACTGACTGGCCAGAGTTGTATGGATGGCAAAATGTGCCACAGACTTCTTCCTTGCAGACCAAGGCAAAGTGTAGGCAAAATATTAGTATACCCTGCTGCACCTGGGTACAGCTGGGTCAGGCAAAAGGCTAAGAGAAGAATTTGAAGAGGAAACTATCCAGCTTTCTACCACAGACCTTCATTGTTAAAAGGCTAAAACAAAGTGAGGAATAGCACAAATGTAGAAAAACGAGCCAGAAGTCACCTATGGAGAAGTAAAATGAGTAGCACTGTGGGACTCTGGAAAATAATGTTACTTTTCTGCACAGTTAGTTAGGACTTTGTGAGCAAATGTTAATGAAACTTGGAACCTAAGGTCAAAGAATGAGATTGGGAGAGTAATTGTTAAGGGTAGAACTCTAGAGAGATTTACATTTCAGTGCAGGTGCTGAAACCTGGGAGCCCTGATGACATCCTAGGTGTGAAGCTGGAGACAGTGGTCTTTTTTTTCCCCTGAAGAAATTTATATACCAAAAGGTTAAAGAAAGAATTCAGGATCCTCCCCAAGGGAGCAAAGGTTTTTCTTTCTCCTTTTAAAATAGTGGGACAGCTACCTCTCCCTTCTACAGGAGCAAGCCCAGATTCATTTTATCAGTGTTCTTCACCTGCAATACCCACGTTGTGTGTATGTGTAGGACACCTAGCTTCTGTCTGTCTCACTGCACCAAGAGTAAGAGTAAGATATTAAAGTACGTTGGAACTACACAGTTGTTATTTGGTTTTAAGTAAATAATATTTCACCATCTGTTCTGTTCCAGAAACTACATGTATTGTATTTATGATATTAATCAAGTTAAAAAATTTAACTCTGAAATTTTAAATTTCCATAAAAATAACTTCAGACTGAAATGGCTTTTTGCAGTTGCAAACCATAGAGAATAACACAATCTTGAAAAATCATCATGAAACAATGCTCAACTCATCTTATGAAAATAGGACAGTCTTCAACCCCAAACCTGGAAAGATTACAACAAAGGACAGCTACAGCATACACACAGAAAAACTCTGATTGATTATAAAAACTGAATACATTCTGATCAAGGAGGATGTATTTCAGAAATATCAGATTGGTTTAATCAAGACTACTCACCAGTACTAACAGAATAAGTAGGAAAAGCCATATGATTTATCTCATACAGAGATAGATAGCATTTGACAAAACTGAACTCATGTTTTTTTTTTAAAAAACTCGAGGAACAGAAGAGAACTTCCTTAAAATGATAAAGGGCATTTACAGAAATCCTTAACGTCAAAATTAATGGTAACATACTGAACAGTATCTCCCTGAGGTCAGAACTTCTGTACAACAAACACTCTGCTGGCTAGGAATGCCAGTACAAAAGGCAAAAAAGTCTGTATTCATAAATGACAGAATTGTTTACATAGAAAATTTTTACAAATCTACAAAACTACCACCAGAAAAAGTGAATTCATCAGCAAGGTTGCAGGATACAAGGTAAATGTGCAAACATAAACTTCTTCTATATACTATTTGTAGTTTTCTATAGTTTTTTGTTTAATGCTAGTATAAAGGCAAAAATAGTATAAAATATTTAGGAATATATTTAAAGAAAAATCAGCAAAACTGCTCAACTGAGAATTTAAAGACCTAAGTAGAGGTATATACCATGGTCAAGATGTCAGTTCTCCCCAAATGAGTGATGCAATCCCAAATAACGTCCTAACAGGTGTCTGTATTTGTGGAAATTAAATTTTAGAATCACCTTGTTAATAAAAAGACCTATAACAGTATAAAATTGTCCAGAATGTCTAAAAACATAGATATCATTTTAATAGGCTGTAGAATACCCAAGAATCTTGAAGAAAACAGCCAACCTAGAAGGCTAACTCTGCCAGATGTCAAGACTTATAATAATAAAAGACAGTGTGGTATTGTCATAAAGATGGATAAATCAGTCAATGGAACAGTAAAGAAAGCCCAGAAACATACATATATGATCACCTGATGACAAAGATAAAACCGCAATTCACATGTAAGGCCGGATGCTATAAAACTCTTAGAGGAAAACATAGGCAGAACATGCTCTGACATAAATCACAGCAAGATCTTTTTTGATACATCTCCTAGAGTAATGAAAATAATAACAGAAATAAACAGGACCTAATGAAACTTAAAAGCTTTTGCACAGCAAAGGAAACCTGTAAAGAAGACCAAAAGACAACCCTCAGAATGGGAGAAAGGATTTGCAAACGAAGCAACTGACAAAGGATTAATGTCCAAAATTTACAAGCAGCTCATGCAGCTCACTATCAAAAAAAAAACCCAATCCAAAAATGGGCAGAAGACCTAAATAGACATCTCTCCAAAGAAGATATACAGATTGCCAACAAACACATGAAAGGATGCTCAACATCACTAGAGAAATGCAAATCAAAAACCACAATGAGGTATCACCTCACACTGGTCAGAGTGGCCATCATCAAAAAAATCTAGAAACAATAAATGCTGGAGAGTGTGTGGAGAAAAGGGAAACCTCTTGCACTGT